ATATAAAACAATTTAGTTCCTACCCATAATGTCTCTTTCAAGCTTCTGACCCAGGAGTGGAGCTCAGAGCGAACAAGTCCCAGTAAGTCCTTGTGTGGGTTTTTAAGAGGAATTGCCTGGGACCCCAGAAGCCTCCATGTTACTCAGCCACAATCCCCACTGGTTTTTACAGCCAGAAGATATGGGGGTTTTTCTCCAGCAACTGGGATCCAGCCTTTACTACAATCAAAGTCTTTACAGGGTTTGTTGACTCTGGCCGGTGTCTGCCAGAGCACCAACCTTGTAGCTCCCTCCACCCCCACCTTTCCCTTCATAGCAGGTGTCCTGCCTTGCCATAGCAGATGATCCATGCCTGAAGGGCTGGGGGCATGGCCGCCATATTTGTCATCCTTATTTGCATATTTCCTCCTAACTGCTGGTTGATGTCGCAGAGGTACAGTCAGTTTACTTGTTTCACTTTTAATAGTGTACATAGTGTTCCATTTGATATTTCCTATACCCCACCTGGCACCATATATAGATAATACATATTGACTGTGTTTCCTGTGCTTTGTTTACATTTATATCTTCATTACTATCTTGGGTTGTTTTTGTTTGTGTGTGGGGGTTTTGTTTTTGTTTTTTAATTTTTAATCTTTATTGTTCAGATTATTACAGTTGTCACTCTTTTTCCCCGCATAGCTTCTCTCCAGTCAGATCCCAACCCACCCTCTGCCTATACCCCTCCCCCACTCTCCTCATCCATAGGTGTACATTTTTTGTCCAGTCTCTTCCCACAATTCCCATACCCTCTTTCCTTCACTGAGAATTGTCAGTCCACTCGCTTTCTATGCCCCTGATTCTATTATATTCACCAGTTTATTCTATTCATCAGTATTTTATTCACTTGATTTTTAGATTTACTTCTTGATATGTATTTGTTGTTCATAATTTTTATCTTTTCCTTTTTCTTCTTCTTCCTCTTCTTAAAGAATACTCTTCAGCATTTCATATAATACTGGTTTGACAATGATGAACCCCTTTACCTTTTTCTTATCTGTGAAGCTCTTTATCTGCCCTTCAATTCTGAATGATAACTTTGCTGGGTAGAGTAATCTTGGTTGTAGGTTCTTGCTATTCATCACTTTGAATATTTCTTGCCACTCCTTTCTGGCCTGCAAAGTTTCTGTCGAGAAATCAGCTGACATTTCTATGGGTACTTCCTTATAGGTAACTGTTTTACTCTTGCTGCTTTTAATATTCTCTTTGTCTTTTGCTCTTGGCATTTTAATTATATTGTGTTTTGTTGTGGTCCTCTTTGGATTCCTTTTGTTTGGGGTTCAGTGTACTTCCTAGACTTAAGAGTCTGTTTCTTTAACCAGGAGGGTGATGTTTTCTGTCATTTTTTCAAATAGGTTTTCAGTATCTTGCTCTCTCTTCTGTCACCCCCATAATTCTGATATTGGTATGCTTGAAGTTGTCCCAGAGACTTCTTACACTATCTTCATATTTTTGGATTCTTTCTTTCTGGTTGGGTGATTTTTGCCTCTTTGTATTTCAAATCTTTGACTTGATTCTTGCAATCCTCTCATCTGCTGTTAAATATCTGTATATTATTCTTTTTTTTAAGATATATATATTTTTTAAAATATATTTTATTAATTTTTCACAGAGAGGAAGAGAGAGGGATGGAAAGTTAGAAACATCGATGAGAGAGAATCATCAATCAGCTGCCTCTTGCACATCCCTACTGGAGATGTGCCCTCAGCCAAGGTACATGCCCTTTACCAGAATCGAACCTGGGACCTTCCAGTCCGCAGGCTGATGCTTTATCCACTGAGCCAAACCTGTTTCGGCTGTATATTATTCTTTATTTCAGTTAGTGTATGCTTAATTTCTAGTTGGTCCTTTTTCATATCCCTGAGGGATTCACTAAATTTATTGACATTTTCTAGAAACTTTTGAATAACCTTGTAACCATGGTTTTGAACTCCATATCCAGTAGTTTTCTTTCCTCCATTCCCTTCATTTGTGACCTGTTTCTTTGTCTCCACATTTTTGCTGCTTCCCTGAATTGATAGAGTGACTTTGTGTGCTAGGTGTCCTATAGGGCCCAGTGGCTCAGCTTCCCCAATTACCTGAGGTGGACACTCTTGGTGCATTCTTTTATGGGCTGTGTGCACAGTTTTGTAGTTAAGCCTTGAATATTGTTGGTATCACTGGGAGGAATTGACCTCCAGGCCAATTGGCTGTGAGGATCGTGAGGATCATCTGTGACTATGGGAGAACTTCTGTGCTGGAGACACCTTTATGGGGCAGGACTTGCTTCAGTGAGGCTTTGATACTCACTGAGTCTGCCTCTGAATTTGTCTCTTTTGGATCTGAGGAGTTGTAACCTGGCTGGTTCTACTCTTAATACCTGTGTACACTGGCTTTTGGATCTCCAAAGAGGTGCAGATTTAGCTCTGCCTGCGGCTACCCAGCAGGAGCTATGGAGAGATCTGCAGATTCCTCCTCTTATTTTGATTTTGGAGGTGCCCAGATGAGGCCCAGATGTGCAGCAATGCAAACTGCTGTGTGGCCTTGGGCCTTCTTTTGGATGTTCTGGATCTCACTGACTCAGCTGCAGTTTGTTAGGTAATTTTAGATCGCAAAGGAACCAGCCATTCATGAGCAAAAATCCTCTGTGCACAGCTGGGGTGGAGTTGTAAGTTGGATTGGGCGAGGTCTCAGGGTATCTTCAGGGCAAAGCAAACAGCCATGGCTGACTTTTAGCCCTGCCCTAAGAAGTCCCTGGGTCTTAGTGTCCCCTGGTAATCGCTGCAAGCAGCTCTGAGAAAAAATTACCTCATATTCCAGCCTGATGCCAGACAGTCCATCTTCTCCCTGTATGAATTTCACCCAGAACTGGAGGTCAGAATAGTTGGGAGCTTGTTTCTTCCTCCTGAGCATACTCAGTTACCAGTCCTTTCCGAACACACACGTGTTACTGTACCTCTGCACTTCACTTCTGAACTTCCTTTTAGCCTCAGTGTGCCTTTCTTTTCCCTTTTAGTTGTAGAATTTCCACTCAGCCAGCCTTCCTGGGGTTCTGGATGATGTCCATTTTGTCTTTTTGTTATAGTTTTGAAGTGGTTGTGCGAGATAGCAAGTTCATGTGTTTACCTATGCTGCCATCTTGTTTTCTCTTCATTACTCCTGTGTTTCCCTGAAAATAAGACATCCTCCGAATATAAGACCTACTTACAGGTTTCCTTCTCAGTGAAATATAAGGCGTCCCCCCGAAAATAAGCCCCCCTGCCCCAAGAGAGATTTGGTCCACTGATTCTGAAAGAAATGGAGTCACAAGAAATTCACCAGGAAATTCAGGAATTGAATTGTGAGGATGCTGTTCCAGAGACGATGACATGATTGTCATTGAATAAATGAGTAAATTCTTGATACTGTAGGATTCTCAGTTTGTCTGGTTTGTGTTGACAACTACCGTACTACCGTACCGTATACAGGTAATAAATTTTCTTTATTTTCATTTAACAATAAATGTGTACCATATTCTTCCTCATGGAAAAATAAGACATCCCCTGAAAATAAGACCTAGTGCAATCTTAGGGAGCAAAAATTAATATAAGACACTGTCTTATTTTCAGGGAAATGGTATTTTGTACCTATCAGTTTGTACTTCCTTATTTCTTCACCACACCCCTAAACCCTTGCCTTTGAGCAACCACTGATTTACTCTCTGTTTCTATGGGTCTATGTCAATTTTGCATCTCTGTTTATTCTCTTCTCTAGATCTCATATATAAGTATAATAAAATGATATGGTATTTGTCTTTGACTTGTATTGTTTTTTGTAACACCTGCTCATCATTTAATCTTTAATGAATAAGTCTATATATATCCTTGCTGGAAACATTCTATTCCCTTGTTTTAAAGAGCAATCCAAAGATTAGATTAGCTGCTCCATCTGGTAGCTTATTGGAAATGCAAGTTTTTAGCTTAGTCTTTAATCTAGTGTGCTAGAATCTGAATTTTAATACAGTCCCACTGTTTTATATGCACATTACAGCTTGATAACTATTGCTTTATAGCACACTACAGTTGTGTTTGATTATTTTAGTTTTCTTTAATGTTTTTTGGGGGGCATGAGGAGGGGTTAATTGTAATTATTCTTCAGACACTGCTTTTCCTCTCCAAATGACTTATTTTAAAAAGTGGCTAAATGTGAATATTTTAAGGGCATTTGCAATGGAAACGCCAAAAAATATCTTTTTAAATACAGAGTTTTTGGACTTAATATCAGATCTATCAGTCTTTAGGAGATATAACTACCTTTTAAAAAAACCAAGTAAGTAATCATTGTGGTAGGGAAGTAATTACACTACAACTTTATTTTTTTCTATTTTCTCCCCCCTTCCTCCTTTTCCTCGCTTATTAAAATTAATTATACAAGCAGTTTTTCCAGGCTGTTGGTTAATCATTACTTAGTCATTTATGAAAAACTAGAGGCCTAAAAAAAAAAGAAGAAGAAAAACTAGAGGCCTGGTGCCATGTACTTGGGGGCGGGGGGCGCTCCTCAACCCAGCTTGCACCCTCTTGCAGTCCGGGAGCCCTTAGGGGATGTCCGAATGCCACAGAAGCACTGCCACAAAAGTGGGAGAGGCTTCCACCACCACCGCTGCACTTGCCAGCCATGAGCCTGGCTCAGGGCCTCTGGCTGAGCAGAGCTCTTCCTGTAAGAGTGCACTGACTACCAGGGGCCAGCTCCTGCATTGAGCATCTGACCCCTGGTAGTCAATGCACATCATAGCAATCAGAGGTTCTGCTGTTCTGTCAATTTGCATATTATCCTTCTATTATATAGAATGATTTCTACTTAAGTCCAAGAATATGTTGGGAATTTAGAGAGTTTGTAACAGTTAAGTGAGATTTTCCTTAATGTGTTTAATTTTAAAGTAATTTGCTAACCAATTGATGTATTTTGGCAAAGCCAATTTTAAAAGGTATTTGTTTACCTTTAAGGATAACAAAGCTGATGTAATTTTAAAGTACAATGCTGATGAAGCTAGAAGTCTGAAGGCATATGGCGAGCTTCCAGAACATGGTAATGACAAAGTTATGTTTTCCGTGTTATAGTATTGCTAGTTTGTTGGTGTTTTGGTGAAGCAGTTTTGATAGAATTGTCTTATTTTTCATGTATGTACTTAACAAAAATTAGTTTTAAGAATAGCAATCTATACTTTTTAGCATTTATACAATAGTAATAACATTCTGTTTCTAGTAAATGTTCTTTTGATCGGGAGTTTAAAAGTTTTAAGCTCTGAGCTTGTGTGTAATTATTTTTTTTTTAGAAATATATTTTTGGTAATTTTTAGAGAAGAAAGGGAGAGTGGGAGAAAGAGAGAAATATCAATGATGAGAGAGAATCATTAATCAGCTGCCTCCTGCATGCCCTGAGCATGTGCCCTGACAGGGGACTGTGACTTTCTAGATTAGGGGTGTCGAACTCAATCAGAGAAGGGGCCAAAATCTAAAATCCAGCCTAAATCGCGGGCCAAATGGTTTACTGAACAGTCATAAACTGTCATTGTGATGGAAACGCAGCGGAGTGCAGTGATGACAGCGCGGTGCGGGCCACATTGCAAGGCCTGGCGGGATGGATTTGGCCCGCGGGCCTTGTGTTTGACACATGTGTTCTAGATCATAGGTTGACACTCTACCACTGAGCCATTCTGGTTGGACTATATATAACTTCTGTTAAGGAAGTACATTTTATTTATTGTTTTTAACAGTTCTTAAAAGAGATGTATCAGTTTTCAGGTATATTAGGGCAACAATTATGATACTAATATTGGATTTATAGGAAACAGTGGTCAGTATATCTTAGCATATTATTTTATAGAATTTCTATTTTTTAATTTAAAAAAATCCTCACCCAGTGATATGTTCATTGTGTTAAAAGAAAGGGAGAGTGTGAGGGAGGGATAGCAAGAGAGAGAGAAATATTGATGAGAGAGAAACACATTTATCAGCTCCCTCCAGTATGTCCTGGACCTGAGATTAAACTCACAACCTGGGTAATTGCCCTAATTAGAATCAAACCTGCAACTCTTTAGGTATTGGGTTGCAACCAACTACGCCATATTGGCCAGGGCTGTGTGTACTTTTTAACAGATATTTCTTTTCTTTCTTTTTTTATATTCACCCAAGAATATGTTTTTTGACTTTCGAGAGATGGAAAGGGAGAGGTAGGGGCAGAGGATGGGAGAAAGGAGGAGAGAGAGATAACTGTGAGACAACATCAATTCGTTGCTTTCTATACATACCGTGACCTGGGATCAAATCTGCAACCTTTTGGCATATGGATGAGCAGTGTTGGCCAGAGTTATTTTTATCCTAATGGCTACTTAAAAATATATAGTAAGTTCCTTAAGAGAAAATGTACTATTTCTACAGCCACATTTTTTACTTTACAGCTATTTTACTTACTTGTTTTACTTCACTGCATTTTGTAATGAAAATATAAGATCTTTACATAAGCATGAAAATTTTGATAAAATTTTTTTGTATTTAAAATATCAGACCAGGAACTGGGGGAGATAATAGATCAACTGAAGGACTTGTATACATGCATATAAGCACAACCAATGGACATAAAGCTCTGGGGAGGGAGGGGATGTGTGGGAGGGAGGGAGGGGGAAAAATCAATAAAATATGTAAAAATAAAAAAATAACAAAATAAAAATTTTTATTTACAGAGAACATTTTAATGGTGGCCAGATGGGAGGGTTTTGAGGGATGGGTGAAAAGGGGGGAGGAATTAAGTAAAAATTGCTAGTTATAAAATAGTCATGGGCATGTGGAGTACAGCATAGAAAATACAGTCAGTAATAGTGTAATAACTATGTGTGTGCTGTGAGATGAGTATTACATTTATCAGGGTAAATTACTTCGTGAGTTACATAAATGTCTAATCACTGGGCTATACACCTGAAACGAATATAAAATTGTATGTTAACTGTAATTGAAAAATAAAAAATTGTCTTTAAAAAAAAAAATATCAGACCAGTATTTTCTCTTTCAGTTCTGTTTCTTAAAGCAGCAATTTTCAACCATTGCCTCAATAATTTTTAAAACATACAGTATTTACCTGAGTATTTTAGTCAGGGTATTGACCTGTTTTCCACCAAATTGTCAAATTTAAGAATAACAGCAGCTCACACACTAACTGTCTAGTATGAATGAATTAAAGTTATACCTTTTATTGGTCATATTGGGAAAAATACATATTTTTTGGTATACTGCAGCATTTTAGTAATTAGGTATGAAAAAGGTTGAAAATTGCTGGCTAAGGGGATAAGCATAGCTTGACCAAGATTTTTTAAATTGATTTGCTAAGTCTTTCAAATAGTTGGTGAATGAGTTATTCTTAGTTAGGAAAACTTCACATGCACCATGTTTTCAATTACATTTTGAGGCTAATTTGGGAAGTGCAAGATTTATGTTAGTGTGATTAGAACTTGCCTTTCTTATAATACCTTTCTGAACAAAGTAAGACTGTAGTACATATATTCTTCATTATAATTAATGAACTCTGGGAGTTTTGTGAATTTTCTTTGTGTTGAATTCTTCGAAGTTAGAAAGATAATTTGTATTGAAATAGGACTTGTAAAAGTGGCCTTCTATTATTTGATATTTTGTATCAGGCCCATTTCTTTTAATCGGTAATTTCTCTGATAACACCTTTTTAACTATATACATATATATATATATATATATATATATATATATATATATATATATATAAACTATATTTCTTTTTGTATCTTTAGCTAAAATCAATGAAACAGATACATTTGGTCCTGGAGATGATGATGAAATTCAGTTTGATGACATTGGAGATGATGATGAAGACATTGATGATGTAAGTAGTAGATAAACCCTGTTGGGTTTGTTTTATTGATGTACAAGGAAATCAGATGTTTCCCCTAACTTCCTTTAATCTAAGAATGTTGCACACTTAAATTCCGTGTATCTATAAGATTGTTCATGAATCTGAATATTCATTAATATTTAGAAACCAGCTAGTTTAACTTTTTATTCTTTAAGAAACTTTATAATCCTTTGAAACATCTCTTTCTAAAATGATCAGTATTAGTTTTGACAGATGGTAGTCCATAATGATAACTCATTTAAGAGTATCTACAGTTATAGTTAGAAATATAGCAAATTATTTTGAGAATGTCTTTTCTTAAATGAAATGTTAAAAGAAGAATCTTGTTTGAATCCATTTGCTGAAGCATTAAAATTGTAAATTACTTCAAAAGTCTTATTAAAATGGAGGCATCTTTGATCAAAGTATATATTGAGATTACACTGTTCTTATTGGTCACATTTTTGCTTTGTAGTATATATGTGTTTATATGTGAAAATGTTCCCATCCTTTCCGTTTCCTGTTTCTGAATATGCTTTAAAATGTACATAACATTAGGAACTAATGTAATAAATATTAACAGATGAAAAGAGGAATAGATGTGAATGATCATGTGTAGTTTTTAAACTATACCCTTGTGGTAGATATTTTGGTATTCTCTTGAATTTTAAGTTCTTTTAACTCCTCTGAATGTCTGAAAATACTATTAATAAAAATGTCAGTTATTGAAAAATCTGGAGACTCCTGTTCTAGATCAGTGACTTCCAATCACTTGTGGTGCCCCACTTAGACTTACCCAAGGCCTTGAATTTTTGAAAAGCTGTGTTAATTTTGCTGCACAACCTTTGTGCTACATTTTCAAAAATTCCATTTAAGTATTTAAACACTCATTATATTTACTTAATTTGAAGAATATTGCAAATTTAATTTTAAATAATAGTTGCTATGTTCTTTTTTCTTTTCTTTTTAAAAATTGTTGACACTGCCGAAACCGGTTTGGCTCAGTGGTAGAGCATCGGCCTGCGGACTGAGGGGTCCCAGGTTCGATTCCGGTCAAGGGCATGTACATTGGCTGCGGGCACATCCCTGGTAGGGGGTGTGCAGGAGGCAGCTGGTCGATGTTTCTCTCTCATCGACATTTCTAGCTCTCTATCTCTCTCCCTTCCTCTCTGTAAAAAATCAATAAAAATATATATTTTTTAAAAAATTGTTGACGCTGCCCTAGCTGGCTTGACTCAGTGGTTAGGGCATCAGCCTAAGCACCAGAAAATTGTGGATTTAATCCCAGCCTGGGTGAGGGTGTGTGCAGGAGGCAACCAATCATTGTATTTCTCTTTCTCTCTCCTCTACCATTTACTCTAAAAGAGAAGGGGGGGCGGGGGGTGCGGAAGGTCAGTGGAAATAATATACTTGGGTGAATATTAACAAAAAGGAAAAAGAAATTGATACTGTTACAGGTGCCCTCCCCCCTCCTCCCCACCTTTGCCTCCTTAAAGCCCCCATTCTGCAGGCCCTCACCACATTTTTTATCTGTATTCATGGGCTATGAATATGTGCATATGTGTTTTTAGGGTAATTTCTTCCAGCCTCTCCCATGCCCTTTGACATTATTATTATGTTTAGATTTCTGGTTTTTAAACTATAACTTTATACAGATGTATTAAAAAAGAGCCTAGCCGAAACCGGTTTGGCTCCATAGATAGAGCGTCGGCTTGGGGACTGAAGGGTCCCGGGTTCAATTCCGGTCAAGGGCATGTACCTTGGTTGCGGGCATATGCCCCACAGGGGGCAGCTTGATTTTTTAAAAATATTTTATTGATTTGAGAGTGAGAAACAGATTTGTCTTCCCATGCAGTCATTGGTTGCTTCTTATATATGTCAATAAAATATATTTAAAAAAAAAAAAAACTTGTGTAAACCAAGTTTTATGGCCTTTTAGGCTTCCTCCACATGAATAGGAGTTCACTTTTTGAATAATAAGAATTATGTGTCACAGTGGGAGGAGGAGCATCAGGATTTTAGAAATGCTTAGATGGGTATGGCCAAAAAAAGTTGGGAACTACTGTTCTAGTTTATCTTAGGTTTTTGTTCAGTAGAATGTTTATTATAAGAATTATTTTAACATGAATCTGATGTTCTTTTCACTTGCAGATCTAAATTGAATTTAAAGTTTCAGAGTATTTGTTCCATGGTTTGGATTTTGGCCACCACCTGTTAAGAAGACTAAAACTTCAGGATAATTGCAGTTTGCTAAGACACTGATTTGTTTTCATTGTTCTTAAGTCTTTATTGTTCTCTTTAAATGAGCTGTTAACACTTTATTCTTTTGATGCAATGGAATTTAGGGATAAAAGATCACAAGCTCTACTGTTAAAACATAGTAAAGAGGAGGAGAGAGAATGGATAAAGTAAATGTTTTTCCAGTTAATGAATGTTTTGACTAAATTGTTTTATCTTTATGGTCAGTGATAAGTCCTAGTTCCAAGTAATTTTTTTCAGTCATTCAGTATGTTACCTAGATGTTCTCTTTAATTTTTGATAAAAATTTGAGGAAGTTAGAAATTTACATTTGAAGTTAAGAAAAGGGGCTATTTTTTAATATTTCTATAGCTGGGTACTATATTTTCAACTATGATAACATTCTTTTCATCATCTCATGCTGTCTTAAATACCTAGCATTTATAAACTGCTTATTTTAGAACTTGAGCATGAGTAGCAATTTTTAATTTATAAGATGAATAGTTGCAAAAATTCACTGCTAGATAGTAACTCAAAATTGGAACTACTGATATACTAGTCGAAAGTGGGTTTTTTTTACCTTATGATTACAAATTTTCTTAAATATCATAAGACAACTTTTAATGGTAAATAAGAACAGTTTGTACTATACTAAAAAGTTGTTAAAACATGTCATTTTATTTTCAAAACTCATGCATTTGTAACCTATAGTTTAGGGCTTTATGAACAATTAAATTACAATGTATAAATGAAAAATTAATTTTATAATAAACTGGTATAAGGAAAAGGAAGGGACCACAGCTAAGAAATTTAATAAAATGCCCATTGGGTATATTTTGGCCTTAGTTTGTGTTACTGGTGTATTTTTTTGTGTATATTTTATTAGAAATTTATATTATGACCTTTCTTTTTAATATTTTGTTCATTTTGAAAGTTATAGTAAAATGAATTAAGGAGGAGCTAAATATTATAGCAACCACAATTAAATCTTATATAATGGGATACAACAGATTTTTTTAAAAATATATTTTATTGAGTTTTTACAGAGAGGAAGAGAGAAGGATAGAGAGTTAGAAACATTGATGAGGAAGAGACATCGATCAGCTACCCTTGACCGGAATCGAACCTGGAACCTTTCAGTCCACAGGCCGATGCTCTATCCACTGAGCCAAACCAGTTTCGGCTACAAAAGATTTCTTAAGTGGTTTAGAAACATCACTTTTTTCAGAGGGCATTTTCAGTAGAGAAAATTAAAGGAAATGGCTTTTCCTGGTTTTTATATCCTATATAATAAAAGGCTAATATGCAAATCACAAATCAACCATATGGCAGAATGACCAGTCACTGTGACATGCACTGACCACCACAGGGAATATGCTCAGTGCAGGGGCTTCCCTTGTTGGTCAGTGCACTCCCACAGGAAGAGTACCACCCAGCCAAAAGCTGGGGTCATATCTAGTGAGCACAGCGGTGGTGGTTGGGCCTCCCCTGCTTCACAGCTGTTGGACACCCCCTCAGGGCTCCTGGGCTGCAAGAAGGTGTGGGCTGGACTTAGTATCCCCCTTTCCCACCTTTTCTCTCCCACTTCTTATGTCATGCACTGGGCCTCTAATATATAATTACACTAGAAGCCCAGTGCATGAAATTCATGCACTAGGGGAGGGAGTCTTTTTGCTCAGCCTGCCCACTCTCACAGTGGAGAGCCTTCAGGGAATGTCCTAGTAATGGCTTAGGCCTGCATCCCATGGAACATGCCCTTGATTATAATAGAACCTGGACCCTGCAGTTGGCAGGCCAAGCTGTCTCTCCACTGAGCCAGACCCACTAGGGCAGGATATGACATTTCTTAGCCCCTCCAGCAGTGAACCTTTGTTTTTTCCTCCAGGAGTGAGGTGGATCACCTTCTTGGATTCTTATAACCCAAGTTACCAAGAACACTGCCAGTGGTGTACAGGGAGCTTAGCCAGTGAGCTGTCAGAAAAGTGTTTCCCCTGCAGCTCATATGCAGAGGCCCCCTGTGTGTGTCCACTGGTGTGGGAGCATGCTTGGAGCTGTGCTGGTCATGACTGTTAAGACTTGGAGCCAGTCGTGACTGTTAAGGAATCCCAGACAAATTTGCATACGTATTACCACTTTATATATACTGTATAGGTATGTAAAGAACAATGAGCAGGATTAGAGTCTAATATAATATATAATGTATTAGATTCTATATAATATATAATATCTCTATAATATACTATTATAGAGATATTATAGTGTGTAATATCTATAGTATATATAGATATTATATACTATAGTTTGCCCTTAGTAGCAGGAAGTAAATTCTGAGACCCCAGTGGGTAGTACTAAACTTTATATCAACTACATTTTTTAAAAATATATATTTGTATACACACACACACACACACACACACACACACACCACTGACTGGCCAGATTATTATGACCAATTAACGTTTATTATTACAGGTAAACTAGCTGTAATTTTGTGCTGAAGTTGCTAGAGGGCCAGACCATTATAAATAGGGAAGCAGGTTGTTTACTACGACAGTAGAAATGATTTTTTCTGAAGAAATGAGTTTTTCTGAAGATATGGGTAAACAACATGAATTAACAACAGCCTTTGAACGTGGGGTGATTGTTGGTGCTTAGAGCCATGGAGCAAGTTATCAGCAAAACAGCTGAATTTCTTGAATGTTCAAGAGCAGCTGTTGTTAAAGTGTTTAAAGACTGGACTGTTAGTCGAAAATCTGGGTCTGAACATGCGAATTGTGGTCGTCAGCGACTGATCAATGTTAGTGCAGAACGGAGAGTGGCAAGATTGGTACAAGACAACAGAAGGGTAACAGTGCATCAAATTCAGTCTAGAGTTCTTAATCCTCTCAAATGATCTCTGAACGCACTATATATATGAGGTTTGTTTGTGTGTGTGTGTGTATACATAATAAACACACCGAGTGGCCAGATTATTATGACCACCTGAATTTGCAGGCAAATTTGCTATACAATTTTATTGAATAAAAAGCCAAAGGCCTATTCCAATACCTTTGCTATCTGCAATTACTAAGATAAAACTCTCCAGTTCACACAGGAGCACAAGGATTAGACAGTCAAACATTGGAAAAAAGTCACATGGTCCAATGAACACATTTTCAGTTGCAGATGGTAGGTTGAGAATTTTGCAGAAAACATGAAACCATGCACCCACATGCATGGGTACAACCCTTCAAGGTAGTGTTATAGTTTGGGTCATGTTTTCCTGGCATGATTTAGGCCCTTTAATTCATATGGAACATCTGAATAGCACAATAGGTCTAAGTATCATTGCTGATTAAGTTCATCCTATCTGGACCAGTGGATCGGCCTCCAGAGGTGCCTGATCCTTTGTGAATTGTGTGTACAGCCTTGTTGTAGTTAAGTCTTGATTGCTGTTGGTATCACTGGAGGAATTGACCCCCTATCATGTTGATGGCATATCCCAATGTAGATGGCTTCCTCCAACAAGACGGTGCTCATATTGTGCAGGAGTGGTTTCAAGAACATGAGGGAGACATTACCTTGCTTAGGTGGCCCCCACCATCACCAGATCTCAATCCAACTGAGCATTTGTGGAACGAAGTTAAAAGAGCCATCAGGCAGCTGGTTCCACAAGCATCCAATCTCACAGAACTGGACAGTGCTATTTATCAGGCATGGTGTCAGATTCCTCCATCACCTTTCAACATCTCTTGGAGTCAATGCCCAGAAAAGATTGGCTGCAGTATTGAAGGTGGCTGCAGTATTGAAGGCGAAAGGGCCCATCAAACTATTGACGGGATGGTCAAAACAATCTGGTCACTCAGTGTATATATATATATATACAGTGTATATATTAGAGGCCCAGGGCAAAAAAGTTTGTGCACTAGTAGGGTCTCTAGTGGCAGCCAGTCAGGACCTCCTTCCCTTCCCCTGGCCGACGTACTCCCTGGTCAAATTCCTGATTGAGGGGACAATTTGTATACTACACTTTTATTGTAGGACTAGAGGCCTAGGGCATGAAAATCGTGCATGGGGTTCCCTCAGCCCAACCTGCATCCTCTCCAATCCAGGAACTCTCAGGGGATTTTCCACTAATGGCGTAGTTCCACTCCCCATAGTTATCTGCTCTTTTTGGGATCTGGGGGCTTCACCACAGCCATAGATATGAAATCCTAATGTCCTGCTGTCTGCTCTCTATCTACTATCGCCATGTGAACAAAGCCCCAATATGCTGCAGTGTGCTCTGTCTGCCAGGCCTGGGGACTTCACCTATACAGACACACTAAGGAAGACCCCATGCCCTAGCTGTCCAGGCTGTGTCTGCTAGGCCTGGGGGTGTTCCCACCATTGCCATCTAAGGAAGCCCACAAGCCCTGCTGTCCAAACTCTGTTTGCCATGTCTAGGAGCAGATTTAGCCTCGCTGCTTGGTCCCCACAAATCCTGGGCAGGCTGAAAGGCCTGAGGGGACTGGGTGCTGCCATCTTGTGGCTATGGGTGCCACCATCTTTGTGATGGAGTGATGATTGATTTGCATATTACTCTTTTATTATATAGGATACTTACAAATGCCCTGGGGCACAGATTCATGTATATTGAAAGTAAATTAGAGGTAGAAACCAAGATGGTGGCATAGGTAAGCACCTAAATAGCTGCCTTACACAACAATTTCAAAACTACAACAAAAAGAACGGACATCATCCAGAACCACAGGAAAGCTGGCTGAATGGAAATTCTACAACTAGATGGAGCTGCAAAGGGCTGAGGTAAGGAAATGCATGCACAAAGAGGAAGGGTGCTAGCTTTCTCTGGCAGAAGGCTAGCTTTTTCTGGCAGAAGGAAGAAGGAAGCTCTGACTGCACTGAACCCCAGTTCTGGGCAAGATTCTGTGTACTTAGGCTCATACGGGGGAGTCTGGATTGTCAGAGAGAAGGAACACAGAGACTCGGGGGAGCTATGGAGGGCAGTGGTCTGAGGCACACGCAAGAGGTTGCTGGTTTTCCCTAGCAGGAGGGATTCAGAAGCTCCCAACTGTGCTGAACCTCAGTTACGACTGCACTGAACCCCAGTTTTGGGTGAGCCCCTTGAAACCCAGGATTTTAAATGGGAATCTGGACTGTCAGGTGGAAACTTAGGGGAGCCGCAAAAGTCAGAGGTCTGGAGGCACACATGCAAGTGCACAGAGAGGACTGATTCCTGAGTGCGCTGCTGGCTTTCTCAAGTCTTGTCTCAGAAGGCTGTCTCTAGCACAGAAATGTATCCCATAGTAGATACAGCTGTCCTTCACACCGAGTTGGCTTGGGGGTCAATTCCTCCAGTGATACCAACAGCAATCAAGACTTAACTACAACAAGGCTGTACACACATTTCACAAAGGGTCAGGCACCTCTGGAGGCCAATCCACTGGTCCAGATAGGACATCAAGCACACAAAGCTTTCCTCCCAACTCAGGGAAGCAGCGAAAATGTGAAGATAAAGAAACAGATCACAAATGAAGGAAATGGAGGAAAACAAATGACTGGAAATAGAGTTCAAAACCACAGTTACAAGATTTTTCAATAATTTCCTAGAAAAGGCCCATAAATTTAGCAAGGCCCTTTAGGATCTGAAAAAGGACTAACTAGAAATTAAATATACACTGACTGAAATTAAAAAAAAAAAAAAAATTCTTTTACAGAGATCCAACAGCACATTAGAGGAACGCAAGAATCAAGTCAAAGATTTGAAATACAAAGAAATAAAGAACACTCAACAAGAAAAGCAAAAACAATCCAAAAATTTGAAGATAGTGTAAGAAGCCTCTGGGACAACTTCAAGCATACCAAC